AAGGTGATTCTAAAATGCAGTATTAGGCGTATCATTAAAAATAAAGCAAGCAGCAGCTGCAAACTCTTGTAAAAGAAAGAAAGGTCTGATCCTGGCAATCAAAGGTCAACAAACCAGGCTCAGGAGAGCATGCCCCAGTTTTGCAGCCCTGCACAGAAAAGGCGCGCTCACGGGGAGCACTGCGCTGGAAGGCAACGCGCAGCCGGGGCGCGGATCCAGATCGCAGGCTGTGGGCGGGGGGATCAGGGCAGGGAGTGGAGCTGAGCTCCTCCAGCTTCTGTGATCCCAAAGCAGGAAGAACCTTTTTACAGACGCGCTCTCAGGACCAGTGTTTTGCCAAAGCTGAGCAGCTCATCAACAGCGCACCAGACAAAGTCAAGCAAACTGAAAGGGCGGGCAGCTGCCGCAACCTCAGTGTTCGTCATTGCTGAATTTATTTTAGGAAATCACCCAGTTAGGGCAGAAGTTTGAAAGACTGGTACACAGAGAAAATCAAACTGACAAAGGAACAACACAGGGAAAATGTCATTCCTAAAAAGAAAAAGCAAATGTTATTCTGAGAGTAGAGAAACAAAGGAGATAAAAAAGGCACAAAGAAGGTGCCAGATCCTGGTAGAGAGGAGAAACTATTACATTAGAGTGTATCCTCTGGTCACACTTACTCAGCATATACACACACTGAACCAACACAGAATGCTCTTACCATTAAGATGCTTCTGCTATCCAAAATCTGCCCTCTTGTAACTTAAGCCCCTTTGATCTCAGATACCTGCAGAGAACCCTTCTGTGCAACAGTCCTGCAGGGGCTGGGATGGTCCCCCCTCCCTGGCAGAAGATACCCAGTTCCTCACATTGTGCTGGCCGCCTGTGCTGCCCTCCTCTGAATGCCCTCCAGTTTACCTACATTCTTCACAGAACATGGGCACTGCACTCTTGACAGACAAAGCAGGACGCTGTGGAGCCACAGCTTTGGCTTCGGCTCTTGACTTGGGGGCCGTGACTCAATGGATGCAGCGGAAGACACGGCCCCTGTGCACTCCCACTGCTAACACCGGATCGGCAGCAGTCCCAAGATCTGCTTCACACCAAGGCAGGCATCTCCCCTGCTTACCTGTGCCTTTGATTCTGCAACCCTGCTTTAGAAATTAATAGCATTCATCCATTTCTGTTAGTTTTCACTGTGCTCATTTCAGCCCTTTGGTCAAGGTCCTACTGAGTGCATTTCCTGCCATCTTAAGCATCAAATTCCATCCCTGCAGATTTGGTAAGGGCTGCCACCAGTCCTCCACCTAAATCCCTGACGAAAATGATGAAGCATGCGGGTCCAGCTGCAGCACCCAACTCGGTACCACCCTCCACTCTGAGGAGCGACCAGGGACGGGGGCAGCAGCTGCTCTCCTCCTCCTCCTGCCAATTGGATCAGGACAAAGCCTTCTTAAATAAAAGTCTTTATTGTGCTACACCTGACAAACTATTTAATTGTTTTATTGTTCTATTGTTTTATAGGTTATTCTGTTTGTTTATATGTTTTAACTTTTCCTAGCTGTGCAGAGAGCCTTAGGCTACTGGGCATTATAAAAATGAAATAAATAAACTAGGCACTCTTTGTAATACCACAGAAGAGTATCACACAAAACAACCACAAAAGAGGCAAGTGAAGCCAGAATAGTGTCCATTAGAGAAATGCAGCTTAATGATAAAAAGTTGATTCAAAGCTGGCTTCCCCTCCTCCCTTCCAAACTGAAGAGAGCTAAGCTTGCCTGCAAGGCAGATCCTGCTGCATCATGGCCAGGAGCATCTGGCACTTTTCAGCGAGTCACCCTTTTAAACTGGTACATTATGATCAAGCTTAAACTCTTGGGGCCACCCCTGTTCCACATCAGCACGCTCATTAAGTTTCCCACAGAAGTTGATGAGTCTGGCCTGGTTGATCTCTGGTTCTCTGGTCCTGGCATTTCAGTTGCAGGCTCTGGCCCCTCCCTCTGCCATGGGTGCACTTTACATGCGCCTTTGACTTCACCTAAGGAAATGTTCACCTAGCCCACATTTAAGCACCCCAAACATTCTGGAAGATTCTGTTGGGTGCTTTGCAGAAACCAAGAGAAATTATGTCCACAGTACTTCCACAATCTACTATTTTAGTAACCTAATTTAAAAAGGAAGGAAGGAAGGAAGGAAGGAAGGAAGGACGGACAGAAGGACGGAAGAACAGAAGGATGAAATGAGTCTGGCAGGGATTATACTTGACAGATCCTTGCTTGCTTTGCGTTATCACTGCATGCTCAAAAATGCTTACACACTGACTCCTTTCTAGTCTGTTCTAGGATCTTCCCTGGCTTAGCGGTTAAGCCGAGGCTAAAATCCCCGCCCTCCCTACCGCACCTTACTCCAGGGATGTGCACTAATGATGCCCTTTTTTGTAGCAGAGGTCCACTGTGAACTGGGGGCGGGGGGCAAGCAGTCCTACCTCCCAGCCACCACAGCTTGAATTGAGAAACTTCCCCAATGCTGTAAGAGCATCAGCTTTGAGACGCTTCCGGTGTTGATTCCTCTAAATGTGTGCAGCTCCTTCATTTCAGGAGCTTCATCTCCTTCATCTCCTTCCTCTAAATGAGCTTTGCTCCTGCATCGCAGGCACCTCAACTGGCATCACACGTTCCGTGCAAACTGCACCTGTCCCCTTACTCTGAATTTTATTTATCTATTTTATTTATTTATTAAAACATTTTTATGCTGCCCCATTCGCCGAAGCCTGAGTGGGTGCTGTGTCTGTGCTCAGCTAACCCAAATGGCCCATCCTTGGCAGCGCCATTTCTGGATGGCTTGGGTGTGTGTGGATCATGGGTCCCCCAGTGACATGTTTGAAGGAGCTGGGGCATGAATGGGTGTGTGTCGATGTCACAGGCTGAACTGCACGTTGTTGGGGATTCACGGACAGCGTGTGCACCCAAAATGCCTCCCCAGCAACACATGGTAAGAGTCAAATGCTGCAAGGGCACCAAGGTCAGAGTTGCCCTCTCCTGCCCCCCTGCCCGAGGGGCAGCCCATGATCTGATAAAGGGGCTGCACAGGATGAGATTGGGGCGTGGCTTTCTTTGTCCAAAGGTTCTGGGGGATGCAGGTACGTACATCACGTGTGGTTAGGTCTTGAGGAAAGCAGTGCGTCAAGTATGCATGTGCTGCTCAGAAATGACACAGCACATGTGAAATGCACCCCTTAGGACAAAGTAGTACCAGAGGAGCACCCCCCCCCCCGCCCAGTAAGGGGAAGCAACAATGGAGCCCTTCATAAAATTAAAGGCCACCTGAATTTACTGATAAGCTTGATCATTCTGCTTGCAGCATTAAAGCAAGGACCCCTGCCTTGCCCTGAGCCAGGAAGGACCAGAAAGCAATATCCTGATGCTATCAATATTTGCAAGCAGCCTAATCCATGTCCAGAGTCTGGGTGCTGGGAGGGAAGTCTGAAGCAGGAGGTTTTCTGCAATGTTCTGGGCGTTAACATTTGTAGGAGCAAAGTGAATTGAGGAGAGACCGAGCTGCGGGGAGTTTTTCTGAAGCAGTCCCTGTTATTTGCCACTGGGCTGCATTATCACTAGTCAGAAAGATAAAGAAATTAGAAGTTCTGCCACAGGTAGGCGAGGAGAAAACTGCCTCCTAATCCACGATGAAGTGCCAAAAACGTTTTCATCACTGATGCAGAAAAGGTAAGGAAAGGCAAAGCACCCACTATTGAAACAGACGGGAACCTGCTAAGGCAAAGACTCGCAGGACACACGCCCATGACGTGACAGTGGTCTTGGAGCTGGTGGAAATTCCCCCCACCCGCACCACCCCCACAGGCAGCCCCGCCAGGAGGCACCCAGTCGCAGAAGGGCCCCTCCCCATGCAAAGGGCCGTCCCGTCAGGCCTGGCGAAGTGGGGGCGGCACACTACCTGTTGGAGCCACAGCGGCAGTGAAACTGAATTGAGGCTGGCGCTCAGGAGCGTGACGGTGCATGTAGGGATGCCACACATCTCTCAAGAGGCACTTTAATTATTAAGCTCATAGTCAGAAGAAACAGAACCAGTCATTACAGCTCCTTTTTATTCTGCAAAGCATTTTTGTTTTTTAATGGGGATGACAAACACCAGCAAGCCCCAGGTCTCTAAAACTCAACTGAGATGCATTGGAGTGTATTTATTACTTTATTCTTCACCAAAGAAGTGGTTTTTGTTTAATGGTGAAACGAGATTAATGTAGGAGAAACACACACTTTAAAACACACAAGTCAATCAAACCAGAGACATTTTGTTCCTTGTTAAATAACTATAACATACAGCAAAAATAAGCATTTGTGATAGTAACAGTACTTTTCATGCCCTCTTCACATATGAATAAATCTGTTCTTTTAAAAAGCATTTTTGCCATTGCTCTTTGCCAAGCCTGGAAGCTGTCTCTTCTCAAACAGTTTTAAATTTTAAAAGCAAGATGGCTCAATATTCAAACGGCCACCCAAATCTGCCGTTACAAGTGACTCCAACAGCCAATACACAGGTAAAAATCCTTATTCTAAAGCAGCTTTCAAAAACCTTCTGTTAAAAAGCGAACCGAGAGCTTCTCCCTAGACACCGAGCCCATGAGCCCCACAACTGCCTGGGCACACAAGACACATTCGCACCGCAGTGAGAGAACCAAATGAGCTAGCTCAGCACCTGTCCTCCTGCTGCTCCGCACCTCAACTCGGTTCTGCACTACCAGTTCCAAAAGGTGCCTCTCACTGGAACCACAAGCAGAAAAGGGCCAAGCACTGGGATGCTCCCTTGCCCCACAGCAACACAACCACCTGGTTCCCACAGAAGAGCAGTTGAATGCCACGACCGGGCTGCAGCGCGAGGGACTCGACTGCCACACAGAGAACTGGCGCACGATGGACGCGGCAAAGGCAGCACCCGCCTGGCCGAGCCAGTCCGGCAGCCCCTCGGCGAAGCCCCCGCTTAGGAATCCGCACACAGCCTACCTCCACTCCTTGCACCTTCAGCTTCATGTGGTCCTCTCGGGTGGTCTTCCCATCTTTCCGCTTTTTCCAGCAATATCCATCTTTCCTGTACTTCACCTTCTTCCTGTTGTAAAGGATCATAGAGCCATTCTGGGGCCTGCAAAACAGAAGGGCACTCAGTGACAGTGAGCAAAACTACAGGCTGGTTCAAGCGTGCGCATCTGTGCCTCCAAGCTGATGACCTGACAGTGTGAACCAGTGAAGTCTCTATTGATCCAGCCTGATAGACAGAATGTGCACCTGGCTTGTCGGTGGAGTCTGTGTATGTGGCCAGTCACGGCCTGTAGAGAAATGAGGTGATGAAGGGCCACCGAGAGGCACTAGAGAAAGGCAACATTCTCTGGGTGGGTAAAAGCAATTTCTCACCAGGCGTTTCCTGTTACTGCTGGTTTGTGGTTTTGGTCCTACAAAGATCTGCAGGAATTTATGCATAGAAAATACCAGCTTTCAGCAGAAGTTGCTGCTCCAAGGGCTCAGAGTGGGAGCTGGTTCAGATTTGGCGCAGGCAGCAGAGTGCATGAGCCAGAATGGGCATGGATACACCTGGTGGCCTTGGGCAAGCTACTCTCGTTGAGCCTCAGTCCTCAGCCCCCAGCCTGCAATATGGGCATAACAAACTAGGCTTACCCAACAGAACAACTTCATAGAAACACAGAAACAGAGAAACAGAGGGAGTCAGAAGGGGCCTCCCAGGCCATCCAGTCTGACCCCCGGCTCCGGCCAGCTCCGCTCACGACATGCCCACCATGTGCGTGTCCAGCCTATCCTTGAACACCCGCACCAAAGGGGCCAACCACCAGTGAAAGAGATCAGAGTGTGGGTGACTTCTGTGTCCCTCATAAAGCTCAAACCATCTTGCGTGTGGCGAGTGCCTTCCGTCTGTGCAGGGTGGCAGGAAGGAGATGCCTGTGGATTTAAAAGGCAGACTTAGAAAATCCGACTGCCCCTCCTCCCTGCAAGTCTCGCTTCCCCTCAGCAGCACCTGCAAAAGGGTCTCACCTTTGTCACCTGTGCACAGGAACATCCACAGGGGCAGGGGCAGGGGCAGCTGCCTCCCTCCCCCACTTGCCACTGGCTTGTTCATTCACCTGTTTGCAGCTGGGGAAGGGAGGAGGGGCTGGCCGGGGCAGGTGAGCAGCCCCTCGGCACTCTGCAAGCCTGATTTCGGGTCCCCGCGCAAGGGGGCATGCAGTTGCTCTGGATGCGGCCTGCCTCTTGGAGTGGGGGAGCTGAGCACGTCCTCATCAGACCTTTTCCAGCACCACCAGGAGGACTGGGCAGGCCCTTGCAATCGAAAGGCTTCATGCACCAAGTTTATCCTTTCCTTGCAAGGCAATTTTCCCTGTGGAGGAAAAGGGACGCAAGAAGCAGCTGGAAAATGCACAAGGGTGGCATGCGGAATGTTACTTGGACTGGAAACTCAGAGATCTCCCATCTGCCACAGGGCAGGTAGCTGAAAGGTGCCTCGCCTGCGCCAACTCCCCCCCCCCCCCGGTCTGACCACTCCGTGACTGTGCGGGGCATTCAGGTGCACACTTGCCTTCGACGGGAGGGACGACAGCCTGTTGCCCCCACGCTCTGCTCTTGGCCTGGGGTGGCAGCGTGTGTCTGTGCGGGTGCCGACTGGCGGGCAGCGGAGAGCAGCTGGCTTGAAGGCCTGCACAAATTCTACCTTTGGAGAAGAATTGCAGGCCCCATCTTTTAACCCCTTCCCTACAATGAGATTAACAAGTCAGCACAACTGGGTGAGCAGTGAAGCAGCCCGTGCAAAAGGCTTCCTCCTCTCTCCACAATTCGAAGGGTTCACTGCCTGCACACAGCTCCGTCTCCGTGCCGCCCTCACCATTTCCTTGCAGTTGTTCTGCTCCACCTCCATCCACCCCAAAAAGCACCTGAACACCTTTTTTCCTTGAAAATGTACTTTTGGACATCTCTGAATATCGTTAGGCATCATGAAGCCATTGCCCAAGAATAGCTGCCACTGTCTGTTCAGTCCATGGTTTTATTCCACCCACCACCCAGTCCCTTCCTCACATGGTGAACTGATGCAATGGAAACACCAGCCCCGTGGGGTGGGGGTGGGGGTGGGGGTGGGGGTGGGGACCGTGGCTAGAATCTCCTGAGAAGAGGTCGTGCATCATTCTCAGGCAGCAGCCATAGAGATGGCTGCAAAAATTTATAGAAGTACATTAGTCACAGTAATTTGGCTTTGGAACACCAAGAACAGAAAGAAATACCACAACATTAGCAGCAGTTGCAGCAATAAACAACTTCTGGGGAAAAAGCTGGAGTTGGCAGCATCTGAGCATATAAATCTCTGGAAGTCAGCGAAGTGAAGCACGGAAGATGGGGGTGAAAGGAAGGCACCCCGAAACACATGCACAGCACACACTTGGCCCCAGAATTGATTAGAAAAATTCCCCATGCCTGGAGACAGTCAGTTATTCCTGGGAGTCAAAGCAAGGTCCCTCAAGGCATGGCTGCCCTTCATGCACAGCTTTCCCATCTTTTGGGCAAACAGGTTTTGCATGTTCCTGCAGCATGTCCAAAACCTGCTTGGCGGGGCTCACAATTGGCTTGGGGGAGACCTCCTCTCCTCTGAGTGCGCAGAAGTTAAGAGCTGCAGGCAGGTGTGGGGGGACACCGTCCTGGGGGCAGGGAAAAGCCCCTCAGCACTTGAGTGAGGGTTTTGCATGGCACACTCCCTCATGCCTTTTACTCTCCGCGGCAACTTTGCACTGGCCAATTCATTATTTAGGCTGTTTTTTCTTTCCTGAAGAATTTTTAAAATGGGCTTCCTTTATTATATTTCTCACCCTTCTTTTTCCTCCAAGGAATCCAAGGCAGCTGGTGAAAACCTCTCCACTTCATCCTCACAGTGCCCTGTGCTGCAGGGGAGGCCCAGCGTCACCCAGAGCCTCAAGGCCAAGTCTAGAGCGGTTCCCGAGGATCTGGGCGCAGTCCCCACCACCAGCTGGGCCTGTGATACCCTCGGAAAGCCAGCTTCAGCGTGGCACCCGATTGCTGCGAGAGGGCCAGGCCACGCTGCCCTCTGTTCCCCCGGCCGGGCGGCTTGCACCCCACTCCGGCTGCTACAGAAAGAGTGCCCGACACCCGGAAGCGGCATGCCTGCGCCCAGCCCTGCTCCCCACCGGTGCCTGGCACGAACTCAGCAGTGCTGCTCAGCCCCGAACAGAGGAGAGCTCACCCAGCCCAGCAGCCGGCTGGGCCCCGGCCAGAGGCCCCCCACCGCGAAAGGGGCCCCTGCAGGGCCACGCTGCCAGCCTGAACCGGAGTGGGGCTGCACTCCTCTCACGAGCCGGGCTGCCCGTCTGTCCCTCAGCCCCTCGGAAGGATGCCGCCACGCACTCATGCCAGGGCTTTGCTTGATACTCAAGGGGAGCCTCATCAGTGAGGACGGAATCAGCAAGAAGAAAGGGATGCTCTCGGGCAAGCTGAGCCTGAAAAGGGGCTTCTCGCCCCAGGGCTGGCGGAGCCATGCTGGGAGCTGCAGGCCTGTTTGCCACCTGAACTTCCCTAGGAACGTGCCCCAAGACACGTATGCCAGGGCTTCACACAGGGCAGCTCGGGGGGGGGGGGGGGCCCGAAATTCTAATCCATGGGCAGGAACTTCTGTGTGCTGCAGACTCCTCGGTCAGCTGCTATGCAGGGAAAGGCCCACCGCCTTTGCATCCGAAGGAGCAGCTAAACGGCTCGCCTGCGGCAGGTGTGCTGTTCTCTCCGTGCAGCAGCTGCACTCCAGAGCACTGGGCCTCGATGGCATGCGCAGACCCCACGTAAGAGCCCCGACAACCCAGCCAGGTCCCCTCAGCAGGCCGTCTCCTACAGTCTCGTTTTCTTGTGAGCCCTGATCCCAGTTCGCTATTGCAACTGCTGGCCAGCACGCATTCACTCACCCCACCTGCTGCACCCGTACTGGACCACAGAAGCCTTCGTGGGCCTGCCCACCCCAGGGCAGCCTTTCCTGTGCAGGCATCAGCCAAGGGAGGAGAAGCCTCAAAACAGCCACATTAACAGAGCACTATTGCGCCCATGTGGCTGTACGATTTGGCCAGAGTCCTGCCGCATCAGCGGCATGTGGAAGCTGGAACCGGGACAAAGACTAAGCCGTGGAATAATGGAGGCATTTCGTGCAGGCTCTCAAGGGCAGCTGACGGGCTAGCAGCGTGCGTTTGCCAGATGACGGCCACTGCCTGGGCATCCCCTTCAGAAGGGACTTCACTGAGGCCTTCCACGCCTGAGTACATGAGCCTTTCCCCACATTCCCACCGGGGGGGCACCATTTATAGTGAGGGCAACCAGAGGCCAGATGGGGGAGACTGAAAGGCTAACAGCCCCTCTCACTGCTCAGGCCTTCACTACAAGTTTCGCTGGGCCAGCCACTTTCCTGGAGTGTGGCGCCTGTTGCTGCTTGGCTCTGCTGCTCCGGAGCACCCTCTGCCACCGCTGGGAGCTCGCTGTCAGTTCACATGCTGGTGGGTTGCCCATTCCAGAATGGCTGCAGGGGCTGTGCTCCGGTGAGACACGGCGAGCCCTCTGGCCAGACGACCTGCCTGCTCAGGCGTCCTTCCTTTCTAAGGAGAGCGGTTGCAGATACTGATCCGACCTCCAATTTCAATAGCTGCACTTCAGGTCTGTGTAAGCCTGCCCCCCACCCCCAAAGAAGTCCGGTTCTTTCATGTTGTCATAGCAAATGAGGGCCAAATCCAACCTGATATTAATTCTTCCTACAGATTTATCTCTAGCTGGAAGGAGGGAGATGAAGAAGGAGAGAAAATAGGAGGTTGAGAAAATCCGTCGCCTGCCCCGCTTATCTCTCTTAAACACAAGCACGGCCAGAGTAACATACGGACGGCTACGCCAAGGTGGAGAGGATCAAGATCAGGCAGAATCTTCCACACAAACGCCTCGTTGCAAAAAAAGAAAAATTACACTGCAGGCCCCCACCCCTCAGAACCAACCAGCCAAAAGGGTTAGCCCGTAAACTTTTTCTTGGGGATCTCATCAAATTTAGACTGGACATTCAATATTTAGGGAACTGGTGAGAAACTCCTACTTTTCAGAGCTGCCTTTTTG